AACAAAAAAAAAAACACCGGTTCCGGGACCCTAACATAGTACCCTAAATAGTAGGATCCTCATTAAGGACCCCAAAATAGGTATCCCTTGTGGAAACGACGACGGAACAGGTTGAAACACCAAGCGAGTATATAACACCACGGAGTGCTTGGGTGTTGGGTTTCGAAGTGGATGCGGTACTTTGCTGGAAAGCCATAGGGGCCTGAAGACGCAGACTACAGTTTCTGGGAGGAAGGGGCCAGGGGCCGGTACTAGTATGTTTACTCAGGGGGTTCCGAGCTGTAGGATTTTAGGGTTTGGGGTGCTCAGCAGCTTGCGCCCGCCCTTAACTCTCAACCCAAGTTGACAAGAACACTGTCCTAACCTGAAAATCCAACAGCCCGAAATCCTTCGTGAGGACGAACTTTCGTCCTACCCCAGTATTAGTGTGTTTGCGGCTGTGGGAGCCTCAAAACTATATCTTCATAAAACGGAGCCTTAAGGAATAATGGAAGGAGGACGCCGTGGGAACCTATGTGTCTACGTGTTTTATTTTTTCGGACTATGCAACCTGTTTAACACAAACACAAGAAAAAACATAACATAAACCCAGAGCCAACAGGGAAACACGACGCAGGCTTGTCCAACAGCGTCTTTCTGAAGGAATAACGGACTAGCAGTAGAAATTATACAAGGCCTCTAGATTCAGTTTTGGGGGTCCTCAAAAACCCTAAACCCTAAACCCTAAACCGATTTGCTGAGGTCCCCTAGAGATCCAAGGCTTCTCCTGCGGAGATCCCGGGCCCTAGCGAGAAGATGCCTGGGACCCTTGGGATTCGGGCTTTATGTCGGCGTTTAGGGCTTCCGGGCTTCAGTTTAGGGTCTAGGCTTTAGGTGTTTAGGGCTTAGGGTTTTTCAGTCTGGTTCAGGATTTCAACGGGGTGCAAGGTTGAGTTCTGGATTGCGGTCTTTTTCTGGCATCTGAATTGTGACACATGTCTTGCGCGTCGTTCGACGGTCTACCACAGACCCAAAGAGCCCAACTTACCGCTTTTCAGACTATCCCTGAAAGCATTTTGCTGATCCTCTAGATGTCTTTGCGTGTGCAAGTTTGCACCGGGTAGAATTGGGCTCTCTGGGGACCCTCACCAGGGGGGGTCCAAGCACCTGCCACAAGATTTGAGGGTCGGGGGTTGGAGCTTGGATATCTTTGTGGGCTGTGTTATCATACGGGCCATACAGGGCTTCATGATATGAGGACTTTCCGAGGGTTATGAAGACAGTATAAGTGTCAAAAGGGCTTCGTGGGGTCTCAGACAGGCCGTGTTATAGGGCTTGGGGGTTTCGTTAGGCTTTAAGGGCTTACTCAGGTTTAGAGGGTTTTGGGTGTTCCATCCAGACACACTTGCCGAGAGAGAAACCTTTGGTAAGGAACGTGGTCTCTAGCAAAGAATACTTTTGGGGTTCCTGGTAAACCTAAACCCTAAATTTAAGACCCTATGCCGTGCCCGTCACCGGGGGGAACTCGGACTTCGAGGATTTGTCGGAAGTGCCTTATGAGGGACACCTTGATATAGGGGCCTGTAGAATTATAGGGACTGCTGGGGCATGCTCTTGCTCGGCTGCTCAGTGGCCCTGTGCTTACGACATCTCTGGCACGATCTAAACTTGAACAACCTGCTCCGTAATAAAACTCATACACCAGTAGAATCAGGGCGCCGCTTGGGGAAGCGGATATCGCGTAACAGCTCAAACACCCATATAAAGACCTCTACGAAGCGAAATCCCTTGAACTCCCCTAGAAGAACCTATAAAGACCTCTCCCTAAACCCTAAAACCTAAAACCTGAACCCTGAACCCTAAACCCTTGGGGCCTCGGCTGCGACATCAGGATGAGCGCATTGGCTTCTTCGAAGGCCCAGTCGGCACTTGGGCGTTTAAGGCCTCGGACTCTGCGAAAAGGATGGTCCTTATTTGGATCCTTGGTAGGGTTCACCTTAAGGTCCTCAGTAGGCCAATGAGGCTCTTACTAAGATTCTACAGGCTTGTGTTTGGGGGCTTATACGCCCCACCGCCCCGCCCCTCCTGGGGCAAAATGCCAAGAGAGGGGGCCTTGGCGTTTTTGCTCGAGCTTTCTGCCCAATTCTGACCTGAAGAGCGACCTAATCAATAAGCCCAAAAGACTTGTGCTTAATGTCGTTTTGGGCTTTACGTAGACTTTAAGGTGCCTTGGTTCTGCTGCATAGTATTGGCATCGTGGTTCCTCGGACACCACGATTACCTTCATTCATAACTTGAGGGACACACTTCCTCGTCAGATCATCCCCGGTGACGGCCTTCATCCTGAACTCACCAAGATGCGACTCCAATCGCTTCTTGGGGCCACCGCTGTGTTGAGCCCTTCCCCATCCCGTAGCAGGTGCGCGATGAGCAACTCCTAAAGCGGTGAAGGCTGCATTCAAGCTGGGTCTCTGTCAGCGAGCTGGTGGAAGAGGGAGAGGGAGAAGAGGAGCGAGAGGGCAGCTGTGTCTGTGCTTACACTGTCGGCCTGGAAACAATCATAGGAAAGCAGGACACTAGAATGAGGGAGATAACACTCTCTTGTCGAGCTGACTGTCACAAACAACTGATATAAACAGGCCTGCCTGTTAGTTCGTGACATCACTTGCTATCAGGTTTAGGGTTTAGGGGGTTATCGTCTCGGGGTTTAGGGGTGGCGTTGAAGGATATTGGGGCCCTGAACCCCACATGTGCCCTATACCGGGGCCTTGAGCCCCAAAAGTGTGTCACCATCCGCCCCGAACCCTGACTTCGAATTCCCGTGTGTCAACTTGGAATGCAGGTGCGGTTTGAGGTCTACCGCAGCCTATGTAACCCAATTACTCCGGTTCCATATTTTGATTACAGCCTAGTGTGACAGCGCTGCACCCCCTGCCCACATTGGGCTCTGGTTTGGTCCTCCAAATAACTCGGACTCGAATAAACCCATGCCTGCTCCGAGCAAAGCCCGACGTCCTGCTTCTCTAGCTGCTTGTAAATCTGGCCGTGGACACGTGTGAGCCTGTAGGCAATTCTGTGATTGCTTGAGGCTACGATGATCCCAAAACAAAATCATGCAGGTGCTACAGCTTTACGGTATACTTGCGTAAATGCATATGTAACTGTATATATGCATACGTATGCATATGCACAGATGCGCCCTTCCATCTGGCTGTTCAGCTGCTTGTTTCATAGAGAGAGACAGAGCGAGAGAGAGAGAGAGAGAGACAGACAGAAAGGCAGAAAGCGACCGCACCGAGACAGGGGCACAGAGAGAGAGAGAGAGGGAGAGAAGGAAGAGACGGACGTTAGCATGTCCATCCGGGCCCATAGCATGTATCATACTCCTGCTCCATGTACCTGAAGAACCTTGGAACAACGAGTTACTCCATGCAACGACAAAACTCAGCTTCGATGAGTTGGCCCTGAGCTTACCATCCATCGAGCCACCTTTTTCAATCATGTAGGATGCCAGGTACGCGGCGTAGATTTAGCCGCTCGTCTATAGCGCATGCTACGGTCTACCTGGGAATGATTGCACTTGTCACCCGCCCAGGAAGCATACAAAAACGCTGATAATCGCTGATACTTGGTACCCGGGACTCTGTGACTCTGTGTTTTTTTAGCAGATCTCGCGCTGCACAAGGGTTGCTAGACTTGGAGTGGGCACTATGCGCTGCTGTGACATACAAGTGATGATGGAAGTCTCCATCACTTGGCCTGAAATCGCACACGCCCTGTGCCAAAAAGCCCATAAGCGCGAAATGAGCACAAACCTCAAAAAGACTCATAAAGAATCCACCCCACTGCTCCCTTACACCTTCAAGCCTTAACCCTAATTACTCCTATCATCTTCCTTTTGGTGTAGAGTTAATCCTCAATCCGAAGGTCTGGCTGGAAGCTCCAAACATCTCTAAACCCTGAACCCTAAAGCCTAAACCCTCAACCACCCATTCAGGCCTATCAAAGGCGTTCACCGCAACAGGATGCGAGGTCTCGGGAGTTTCGCTCGCCAACTGAAGACTTCAAAGGCACAACGTTCGAAGTGCGAGGCTGTTCGGGTTTAGGGGTTTAGGGTTTGGGGCTTCGGGTTTTTCGGGNNGGGGGGGGGGGGGGGGGGGTTTAACAGGATCGACTCGAGATTTAAGGCTGCAGAGCCTAATTAATCAAGGGGTAGGCTGCGGGTCTTATGTTTTGTTCGAGGTTCAAGGTGTTGATTAGGCAGGAGTTCGTTGTCGAAAAGAAGCATTCAGTTGAGGGGCTATAACCAGCAAATCGCAAGAGCCCTTCTCATGAGACTTGAATGATGCCTATGTATCAACCCCTGTAACCCAGTATCCCTACGAAGCACCAAAACCCTGCAGACTTCGCTTCTGGAGCAGTAGATCATCCTGGGGTCACTGAGGGCTTCAGTCGTTGAAGATTCAAGGGATAGGGTTCTTTAGGGATTAGGCTTGGCGTGATTTGACGGTTTTAGGGATCATGGTTTAGGGGGGTTGGGGGCTTAGGGTGGGAGCTTTAGGGAGCTTGAGGTGTCATGAGCTCGAAGATACAAGGCCTAAGTCCCGCAGGCTGGGTAAGCTAGCCGCGAAAAAAGCTAAACGCTTAATTATGCTAGGAGTTTAGCTACCCAAAGCAGTCAAAGGTTACCTACCCAGCCCCGAGGAAGGGGTCATGAGACGCAAGTCTGGTTTCTCGCCTTGGGCAACCGACTGTGTCAAAAAACCCGCGACCCTGCCCAAACAAACGGCCTCGTCTATTGGCGTCACGATGGCATCCCAGGAAGTACTGGCACATCATGCGCGGCCGTACAGAGTTTAGGCCTTCTATAGGCTTCGAATATTTAGCGTTGAGGTTTGGGGTCTACGGTTAAAATGAAGTACAAAGTCCAGAGATGCAAAAAGCTCCGTATGCTGATTCGATCAGGTAGCAGGATTCATGAACCACAGAGTTCAATGGGCCATGCCGGGAGCGCCTTATGGGCGTGTGATTTGAAAAGATGGTATAGGAACCGAAATCATTACCTATATTATTTTGGGGGTTCCTTACAATAGTTATAGTATCATGGGCACCAGAACTGTAGCGGAACAAGCATCATTTGCGCCATAAGCCCTATGCCCTTCATGGGCTTATATGCATCTGTATCAGCGCATGGGCCTCGGTAGAGTCCTTGTAAGCGGGAATCATTCGTCCAAGACTTGTTTTGCTCGTCACTACTACAGCGAAGGGGGTTCGGTGGGGATGATGCCGGTGGTAAAAACTGATGGCCATGGTAATTGCTCATGATGCAGATGCAGACGACTGCTACATGGGTGATAATACTCCTGGTGATTGCATGCCTGTGGGATGTCTCGCGTATTCGTGCGTCAAGGCTACCTAAGACGCCAGCATAAACGTGCAGTGTCGCCTGGAACATAATGCACCTGTCGGTTTGGGCTCACTCAGTTCATGGCTCGGAGCTTCTATCTGGACTCTCTGCCAGTCCGTGGCTACAGTCGAGACCCCGACACCTCGTTACAGCGAGTCGTAAGTCGGAGGGGAAATCACAGCCGGCGCACCTGTAACTCTCTGCCCAAACCCTGCTGACTCAGTTCAGGGTTCAGGGATCCTATACAGGGAGTCCGGCAGCCCCTGCCAGCCGAAAGGTTCCCTTTAAAACAAGAAACGTAACCGTACTCTGAACGGCTGAGTGACTTTGAGCCCCTCCGCGGTCCTGCCCTCGTCCGAGCTTTGAAGGTACTCCGACTTACCCACAGTGGAGATGGGCCTTGCAGATCAAGCTCTACTATCCCTAAACCCAAGTCAGAACAGCAGGACAACAGCGCCTAGTTCTTACCATTTCTATCTATCCATCTGTCTATCTATGTATGTATACATATATATATATATATATACAGTTTCTATATATATATACACAGAGAGAGACAGAGATAGAAAGGGAAAGAGAAAGAGAGCAAAAAGAAAGAGACAGAGAGAGCGAAAGAGAAAGAGAAAGATAAAAACAAGAGAGAGGGAGACAAAGAGGTCGCCAGCCATAGCTACAGCCCCGGGAAAGAGGTCCAATCTGGTGAACTTGCGGGCAACTTTCATGCATGGCTTGTAGAGACAGTTTAAGGTCGCACAAATTAACGCTAAACCCTAAACCCTAAACCCTAAACCCTAAACCCTAAACTAAATGCTGCATCATAAACATGACCAGTTGGACTCCAATGTCGGCAGTGCAAAGGATAGCCTGACCACTTTAAGAAATGCCCTTCAGTCAAAATAACTTACATCAGATCCCAGGATACTGAAACAGAACTCCGGGAAATATGGATGCTTGGTTTTGGGGCGGCTTTACCGCAGAATAGGATTCGATTCCCTATGGACCTTCATCATACAAGCACTACGCAGTCAGACACTAGAGACCCGATACCCCTAAACCCCTTATCTCCCATGGAAACCTATACGCAATCATCCGACAATCTGGTGAACTTGCGAAGCTGGGGCCGACACGTACGGGAGATCAAGCTTCCCACCTGGAGATTTGAAGAGGATTGTAGACTTTGAGGCTCGAGGGTTTAGGGTTCAAGGTTGAGGGTGGAGGATCAACGTTTGAATTTTCCAGATTTGCTGGGATTTATGGACCATTTACGATTTCGGGCTTACAGGATTTTCATGGATTCAGAAGACTTCAAGAATTCAGGCTTTCTCGGATGGGCTTGAAAAACGAAGAGACCTCCGCCAAGGAGGGATCCTCCGGGTTCAATCTTGGCATCCATGTAGAACCCTTGTAGTAGCCCTTTAGAATAGCCCTACTGCTAAATCCTCTAGTTACCCTTGTAGCAAGGCTGATGCTAAACTATAACCTTCTCTAGCTTGGAGCTGTTTGAATTCGGCGTGAGGCTTCTCTGGCTTGCCATGGGCCTAAGGTACACGCCTTGGGAATTTGACCAGGGTCTTGGAATCTCTTGTCCAGCGCAGGACACCCAGAATTGCAAGAACTGGGGCATGAAGTGAGGATGATTCATGCTAGGATTGTCGCTGCTTATACCTGCCGAGGGCAAGAGGACAGTTCTAGTCCAACAGCTCTAACCACCCCACCTGCTTCTTGCAGCTTATGTAAAGTCAACTAGACCCCCATCAAAATCCACCTAGGCTTCCTATGAGCCTTTTGGCAGCCCGTGCGAATTTGATTTTGAGCGCGACCATAGAACCTGCACAGACCCTAACATTCCCTCTTACCCGGTCATCATAAAGACCTCATGGAACCCCTTTCAACTAAGAGGAGGATTTCGGGGTGTAACATAGTATCATAGTTTTTATATAGGAGACCCTCAGGAATACCGTTCGCATTGTTCAGGCCCTTGTATCAAATTGAGCTAGTAATATCTACTCATTGTTGCAACTTAAAAATATGTAGCAATACCTTACATAAAATCACATAGACTACTATAGAATAAAAGCCTTTGGCATAATTAGTGGCTTTCCCGACCTGGTCTTGCAGCACACAGCAAGACGTACTGGATGCACACGAAGAGCAACCCGTCGACGGCGCAGACCTTGGAAATCACAAGCGCCCCACCGAGAGAGCCCACTCCTTAATTGAGCTATCTACCTATATAAACTCAAAATCTTGCGGCCGCTAATGGTTCGTAGTACTTTCAACAACGAAGGGGTATCGGGCATAGTATGGGTGCCACAACAACCAATGGAGATCCTTCCGCTGCTGGCTCGTGTTTGTAATTTACCGCCCATCTAAAACTGTTCCCAAACGCCGGACTCTCAAGCCAACTCTAATTGTTGCTTGTACGACTCCCATATATGCACCCCCCAGAAGGCCCCTGTGAAAGCTAGTGTAAACCTCGGGTAAATAGCACATATAACGAACAAGGATTCACAGAGGGATCCTGGCGCTGATATATATATATATATATACACACACACACACTTATTTGTTTGTCTAGTTTGTGTTTGCTTTTATGTGTTTGTAATTTTGTTTTCGTTTACACGGGCACTTATGTACATTATATATGTGTATACAACACTGCATTTACATATGTGCATATATGTATACACATACGCATGGATGCATGGATGCATGGATGCATGTATGAATGCAGGCATGTAGGCATGTAGGCATGTAAGCATGCAAGCATGTATGTATGTATGTATGTATGTATGTATGTATGGATGTATGTATGTTTGTTGGTACGTGCGTACGTACATATGCACGTAGGTATGTATGTATGTACGTATGTATGTAGGTGGGTAGGTAGATAGGTATGTAGGTAGGTAGGTAGGTAGGTAGGTAGGTAGGTAGGTAGGTAGGTAGGTAGGTAGGCAGGTGGGTAGGCAGGTAGGTAGGTATGTATACGAACATGTGCAAACAACCGTGATGCCTTGAATTGCTCAGTGCCTTCGACCCCCAAATAATTAGGCTTTTGCTTACTATGGTAGGATTACATTATCAACTCCAATAACAAAGCTTTCGACTCGGCTACTGTGCAGACCGGGGCCGCAAAACCTTAAACCCGAAGATCCAAAAAGACAAGTTCAGACCGGGGCCCCGACACTCTCGTGCCCATCTCAGCCACGGGGCCGGCACTTTGTCTATCGCTGGGGTACTGTAAATTTTTCTGAGACTCACCGAGAAGCTTGGGCTGATAGACTTTGAGGCGTCTGGGGTCTGTAGGGTTTGGGGTTTGGGGCTTCCTTATGGAATAATTAGCGTTGTTGGTGATATTGTGGCATGGGGCGCCACAATGATGAGCATGGTAGCTGGCCATGGTGGAGCCATCGGATTCTAACTTCGTCATGCACGCTTGCTTCCCTAGCAGCCGGCAGCTGTTGCGTGAACGAGGCTGCCTCTGCTCTCTTCTACGCCACTTGGGGTTTGGGGTGCGAGCTAACGGTTGAGGCCACCAGCTAACCTTGCCCAACATAGGACAACCAGCTGCAATATACATTAAGGGATGTCTGACGGCCCTCACAAAAGTCATACACGACACTCCGATTCAGGAGCTTGTGACGTGCGGATCGTGCATGCCTGAGCCGCAGCGGTCGGAAAAGCTATAGGGCACACCAAGGGACTTCCACTTTCGGGGTTTGGGGTTTAGGGCTTTTAGGGTTCAAGGCCCGTCTCAATTTAGGGGTTGAGCCCCGCACTGAGGCATCTCTCTTGCCGGCATGGAGAACCGGCAAATTTCTTGACCTCAGCCTCAAAGCCGAAATCTACTGGTAGTCTCAAATGTCGTTCCCGTTCCCGTTTGGGGTGAACCAGGTTAATGTCGAGGATCCTATAATAACAAAAGGTGCTCTCAACAATTAACTGCATAATTAGGAAAATAAAGAAACCCTTCTAGAACCCATTTGAACAGAACTCGACAATGTTATAGACTCTTTTGTAGATTTAGGGTCCAGGGGCTTACGGTCTAGGGGTAGTTTAGGGTCTACGGTTCAGGGCGCGATGACCTGTCTTGTTGCTAGCATCCTCAGAAAAAGAAAGTTGTTAAACCGGAATACTTAAATTTTGCATTTTGGAGAACATATACTGTAAACAAACCCCAAAACCCAAACCCCTTAAACCCTAAACCCTGAACCGGCACTTTCGTCTTTTTGAAGGCTCAAAGCTCTGTCCGCTGCTCGTGAGGCGAAGGAACCAGTGAACCTCAGGTTGGTCCGAAGTTTAGGGTTTAGGGTTTAGGGTTTAGGGTTTAGGGTTTAAGGTTTAGGGTTTAGGGTTTAGGGTTTAGGGTTTAAGGTTTAGGGTTTAGGGTTTAGGGTTTTCCTTCGGGCCTGATGTAGTTTGGCTCAAGGTCAGGGTCTGGGGTCCTACATTCATAGACTCGGCTTGAGATTGACGCTTTCGGGTTTCTAGGCTTGAGATGTACGGTTTGTGTTTCGGAGTTTATGATCGCAGGGTTCGCAGATAAGCAGTTCTTCAAGGCTGGCTCACAAGGTTTGCGAGAATCTGATCTCCCCGCATGAAATATGTACATGTATATCTATGTTTCTATGAATATTTGTGTACGATGATACCCACAACAGGGCAGTGGGCGGCGCTTGGCAAAGCCTCAAGTTCTCAAGCTTGCGCACCAAAGCCCTACATCCCAAACGTTGGACGTTGGCGAAGCCCTTATAGACCCAACCGCCGCAGACTCCGACAAATCCAAATGAACATATATATATATATATATACATATATACATATACATACACGTATATATATATATATATATACACCATTTGCCCGCTGCGAGCTTGGCTCGCGCTCACGACGTAGGGTCTGGCACACGGTTGTCCGTCCCAACATAGGATTAACAGTTCGACTATAAGGTACCTGCTACAAGACATGCCCATAACAGGAGCAGGGTGTAGGGCCCTGTCTATTCAGCCTATTCCACGTAGATTGACAAGCCAGCTTTAGATCAGTGCCTGAGCGAGAACAGGACATGCGTTTTGGCATGGGAGCATACGTGCGTTGATAGGCAGAGTAGGACTTTGCAGCCTATGTTAGTATACTTCTAGCCAGGAACCTTAGGAATAGTATTGGTAACTACTCGATTCCTATTGTTCTCCACCTACCCAGAGTCTGAGAGTGTCTTCACCCGGCATGTAAATTTGCCGTGATGAAAGCAGCTGCCGGAAGCTACACAGGTGTCAGCGTCAGCGTCTTACACGTTCACCGTCCATACAGGACTCCACTTAGACCCTAAAGGTTTACGGTTTGGGCAGAAAGACGCCCCAACACCCAAACCCTGCTCGGATTGCGCAACATGTGACAGGGAACCTCGCCCACACGAGCTTTTCCAACGAAATGAGACCTCCGAAGCTTCAAACTCACTTTGGAGTGGAGGGAACTTCGGAATCACCGTGCTGACAGAGGTGCCGTCAAAGGGTTTCTGTCTAAACGATAAGCCCTGTACATCCTGAACCCTCTACCATAAATCTTCTAGGCCCCTAGAAATCAAATGATCTCTTCACCCTAAACCGTCAGCCATACATAAACTCGTTAGCCGTACACCCTGAACCCTAAATCCTACAAATCTGCTGATCCTGAAGGCCTCCAGGACCCCTCAACATCGGGAAATGTACATGACATGTCCTTAGTGATTCATTGGGGGACCAAGGGGTGCGTAATCCCTAGAAAAAGCTGAAGCTTTAGTTTGAAAAGGGCTATATCAACCCATGTACTTTGTTAAAGTTCACCCAGTTAGCTACTCGGACAAGCCTAGTATGGAGCCCCAAGCTCTCTTCCATGTGGGTTCTAGATTGAAAACTCAAAAGACACTGTTCGAATCGTATATAACGATAGAAAGGTGTCGGGGCCCCCTAGGAAGAGTCTACGAGCTGCCCTCAGCAGCACTTTCCGGGCGCTCGAAGACATAGAAGTGCGCGCGCAGGTTGATCGTGGCCTTCGTCTTGCCGGCTTGCGGTGTAAGGTTTACCGTAAACTATTATCATAGGCTCCTTTCTTTGGACCTGATCTGGGGTCGTATTCTGGACGATTATGATGCCGGATTGGGGTGTAAGGTGTACCTCAAACTATTCTCATAGGCCCCGCTTTTGGACCAGATCTTCTTCTAGACCTTAATGCAGATTTCCTAGGCACCCAAAAAGGTTGTTCTGCCGGTGCAGCGCAGACCAGGGTTCAGGGGTTTTGGGCTAACGCCTCAGCTTCGGGCCGAAGGAGGGAGTCGGGACAAAAAGCTTAATGGAGTTTAGGGTTTAGGGCTCAGGGTTGCATGATGGCGGATGGCTGCAGGGCAACAGATACAATATCTATATATTCGTATACACACTATACAGACATCTTTATCATACAACACCGAATCTAGTCTACACAGGCAGAGCTAGTCACATTCAGTTCATGTACGCACTTGTTCCTCATCTTTGTGAGTCCGGGTAAGCCAGCCCAATAAATATGTAGAATATGCGCATCTAACATCTGGCTATATGAAGAGATGCTTTTGCCTCGCCATCGTCCATGATGAACGGCGAGCCGTCTGCCAGCCTCAGGACGTCTCACGCGGGTCAAAGCTGAGCAGAATCACTCGAAATCTACTTTCAAGGTCATGATGAGGGACATATCTTGCAAGCTTACAATAGCGCCATAAGAAAGATACGCCCCAGCAGGTCACACATAGACCCTCCACTAAACCCCCACACCCCTCAACCCTAGATCCTAAACCCTTGACTTGATCCCGAACTTCCCCCAAAAAATTCTTGGAACCTTGAAAACTAAACCCCAAACTCCTGAGTTTTCAGCCCCAACCTTCTGACACGCAGCTCAGCTGCACAGTCCATCTGCCTTCGAAGGCTTCAAGGACATCCTCACGAGAGGGGCTTCTCAGATCCCACTGGCGCAGCCCAAAGTTTTGGGGGTTTAGGGTCGGGTTGGCTTCAGGGTTTATAGAAGTTTATGGCTTATGGCACCCTACTACTAAACGGGCTCCCTCTAACGTGGCCTATACGTGGCCGTAGCCACTGTGCAGGAACATAAGAGTTCTAACATCTGGGCCTTTGTCCTGCGAATTGCCCTTTATACTATGAATATAAGGACTGCTGGGGGACAGTATGCCTGATGGTTCTAACTCCTGGATTATGAAGGTTGTGAATGGCGGTCCAGGTCATATTCAGGGATTTGGCAGTCTGCGCCCTCCTAGCTTCGAGCACTAAACCCCCCAAATTCGAAAGCCCTTGACAGCTGGGTCCTAAATCTGCTAGGACACCAGCATGAAAACAAGCCCTGAATCCTTGGGGTTAGAGCTTAGGGCTTTTAGGGCCTAGGGCCACAACAGCTTGAACCCTGAGCCCCACAGCCGCCTTCGCTGGCGGGACCCCGGAGACCATGATCATGCGCCCACCTCACGACCAGGGCCTAAGGTCTACCTCAACCCCAAAAAACCTAACCTCTCCTTAAGGACTTGTATAAAGAAATCATAAGAAGGATCCCTAAGCAGGTTCTTGAGGGTTCAGGTAGGCCAGCTTAGGGTTTAGAGTTTAGGATCCGGGGTGGCCAGTCTCAGGGTTGTTTCGGAGAGGGTTATATATGGCTGCAGTTCTCCAAATTAGGGCCCCTTCTAGGGTCCTGTTTATAAGGGTGCCGTACTATAGTGGGTACCCAAAAAGGGACCCTAATTTAGAGACTCACCCATAGAGGAGCTCCACCTAGCGTTTGCCAGGGCTTGCTGTGCTTTGAGGGAGGTTTTGAGACAAGCAAGACCTAAGATCCAAGGTGCAGGGTTAATTCTAAACCCAAAACCGTCAACCCTAGTTCGTCTGAAACGCCCGGTTGACAGAGTAGCACTGCAGAGAACACGCAAGACCTCACTACTTTGCAAGTCTGGGGCCAACCTGAGTTTCCCCCAAGTGACAAAGGCTGACAGGGGTAGTGTCTGGGCTTCAGAGTCTTTTGGAACTCAGAAAGTCAAGCATCCGGGGGTGAGGCCGTTGCGACTTCGAGTGGAGGTTGAGGTGATCACAAAGGGGCTCAATAATATTAACTAGAAAGATTGTGGCTTGGGGGCCTATTATAATATATAGCCATAATCAAGAACCCCTGAAACCCTAAGGAGTGGTATTGGTAAACATATTAGATTTGTCTCAGCATGGGCGGCCCTCTGACACTGTTCTCTTTGAGCATAAGTATTGGGCTTTGGGGGGGTGAAGGCTTTGGGATTTGGGTATGGTCACAGGCTGTTGGTTGTCTTCTGGGTGCAGAATGTGACGAAGGGTCAAAGGTTTGCTTAAGCACGAGGCTCCAAAACATGTTTTGTAAGAAGACCTTTATACGGGGCTGCATGATTGCCATCACACACTTAGTGAACCCATCATTACAAAGCCTGCAAGTTCTCAAAAAACAGGAAAGAAAATTTTCAGCACAAAAAGCCTGCAATGCCCCAACCTATATCGCTTGAAGACCATCTATACGCTGATCCTTAAGTACTGTATAAGACATCCTAAACTTGGTCCTAAAGCCTCTCATTCAGACCCATGTCTTTAAGACCGAGAGCGGCCTGGTCGAAGAATCCGATGCATCTCGCGCGCAGCGGCTGCCACCGATGCGGGGCCTGTCTCCACGGAGGCAAAGGGGTTTTGGGCTTTGGGCTTTAAGGTATTTTTTGAAACAGGGTTTAGCGCATGGGATTGAGGGTTTAGGGTTGCTGATAAACTAGGGTCTACAGGGTTTAGGGCCTGGACGCTTAGGGTTTGGGCCTCGCGGTTCGGGGGGGTAGCTTCCTGATTCTAAGGCTTTTGCAGGATTCCATGGGATTTTGCAAGCTACAGGGGACTCATCAAGCTTTTTGACAGGATCTTTATCGGACTTTGGGGTGGGGGCTTCAGGGTAAACAGCGATCAATTACCTCAAGGATATAATCATAGCACTGAAAGCTGAATTCCAGTCGAGGGGATGCCCCCAAGATGCACACACCGACCCTTCGGCGTTGTTTGACAGGGGGACTGCTTCAGGATTTCAGCGATCCGATCCTGCCTGCACAGAACAGCGCGTCCATAGTGCCTTTGTCCTCATTTCGCGAAACGAGCGAGCGGGCGAGACATCGTGCCCGTGACACTTGAACCAAGCGTTTCGGGTTCAAGGTGTTGGGACTTGGATTTCGGGCGTAGCATAATAAATGCAATTGGGGGCGGCGGTGACATCAAAAAAAAGCTGGGCTCTGCGAAGCCCGGTACGCTAAACTCCACACGTAAACGCAACTGACTCAGAAATCTAGTATATAAGGCAGTTTCGACTCGTCAAGACAATCCAAGGTATAGTCCTTAATCTCAATAGCCGCTTTGGTGTATACTGTTCACGGAAAAACCAAGGAAAATGCAGTATTGAGGGCATAGGGGACTTAGGGCTGCAGCCCCAGTCCTTGCTCCATCCGACAGGCACAAGAATCGGAAAGGATTCGGGTCTGAGAAGCGTGCAGAGTGTTGTAAAACTACGGATGACAGCAAGTTTTGAGTTATACCTTGCAATTGCTTCAATCGAAAATGTTGGGTTCTCAAAGCGCAAAATAAAATGCGCTATTACACATGCTGGGAAACCTTTTCAAAGAACCCTGTAGCGAATGAATCCTGCAATCCTTGAACGACCTTGAACCCCAAACCCTCAACTCTAAACTCTAGCCCAAACCCATAACATGTACGTACATGTCCGCAATGCCGCACGTAGCCGAAAACCACTACTCCGATACTCGCACAGACGCCGCTACGCCCAACATCCAGGAGCTAAAGTTAGGCTGAATCGGGGCTCACGGTTTAGAGCTTTTGGGCATGGGGCCTAACTGGGGGGGTTTAGGGCTTTAGAGTATGAAGTTTAGGGTTTTTGTTGCGTATAGGGTTTGGGTGTTCTAACTCCACCTTTCTTGTCGAGGAGCTAGGACCAAGTCGAAGGTGGCAGTCGGGAAGTCCTTCCCGGACGATTTTCAGCTGCTACTTTCATAGTTTCAACATGGTTTCTTTAAAGGGACTTGATAGGGTCTCTCTCTCGGCTACAATAAAAGATATTGTACAAGGTTTAAAACATTAAATGCACCCTAAAAGCCGCAAGCATCAAACGTCGAAATGTCGTGTGCCGAGTAGGCACTTGAGTTTGAAACACTGTAGTTACACCTCGATATTCGTCTAAGCTTTAAGGAGTTTGGGGTAGAGTTGGGGGTCTATCGGGAAAGGATATTCCGGTTAATTAACACCTTGTAAGTTTAAAAAGCCCTCCACAGAACCCGACAAACGATTCTCCATGTGATTGCGTTTAGGGCCTGGGGTTTGGACTCTCTCGGTTTGTAGCAGTGCCGGCGGCCTCTTCAGAAAGCTGAGTGAGGTCGGCCACAGCCCAGTTCATGACCTCAGCTTCGTGCAGAGGTTTACGGCTGTAGGGTTGGAGGGCCAATGGCCCCTCTATGCTATCAGTGCCATCAGCCGCTAAGTAACGACGCAGAAATTGATATCTTTGCGCAGAGAAATCTCACGATCAGGGCTTCCAGCTGAGCACAGTACACAGGTTTTCCGTCGTTTCCTAAAGCTCAATTCGAAACCAAGACTGAAGCCCTGAACCCCATCATCCTCTGCTCGGCGGGGCTTAGGGTTCCTTTCAGGGTTCCCTTTAACGGGACCCCTACACCGGACCCTTAAAGGAACCCTGCAAAGGGGTCCTTCAAGGGTTCCTTGAAAAAGGGGACCTGAAAAGGGTCTTCAGGGGTTTCGACTCTTTCCTAGTCCCGGGATCCCGACCCTTCCTTCGGCGATGCCACGGAGGCGCTGTAAAGCAGCCTCAGCACTCATCCGTTGCGTTCAGGGTCGCTTAAGCTGGGGGTTTTTAGGGTGCAGGGTTAAGGGTGTTAGGTGGTTTAGGGATCAGGACAAACTCCTGCCTGGGCGTAGTCCACATTCCAGATGTCCACTGGGAGGCCCTCGCTGGCCACCAGATCATCATAGACTTCCTTGGCAGGTAAAACTTGACATGGGTATGAGGTGGGGTTTAGGGTTTAGGGTTTAAGGGCTTGCGGTAAAGGTTTAGGGTCTAGGACTTACCATAGACTTCCTTGGCAGGTCAATGATACCAGCTTGGGAGACAAGGCCGATATGGATTTGGGGTAGCGTGATGTCATCATGCAAATGGTCACTGATCTTATTTGATGGAGATGGAGATGGAGATGGAGATGGAGATAGAGATAGAGATAGAGATAGAGATAGAGATAGAGATAGAGATAGAGATAGGGATAGAGATAGAGATAGAGATAGAGATAGAGATAGAGATAGAGATAGAGATAGAGATAGAGGTTGAGATAGAGGTTGAGATAGAGGTTGAGATTGAGGTTGAGATTGAGGTTGAGATAGAGGTTGAGATAGGTGGATAGGTAGATAGGTAGATAGGTAGTTAGGTAGATAGGTAGATAGGTGGATAGGTAGATAGGTGGCTACATAGATAGGTAGATAGATAGAGAACGAAAGAAATAGATAGGCATAGATAGAGATAGATAGCGTTAAATAGAGATAGATAGAGATGGAAAGAGATAGATAGATAGATAGATAGATAGATAGTTAGATAGATAGACAGGTAGGTAGATAGCTAGATAGACAGATAGACGGATAAACAAGTAGATAGAAAGATAGATAGATAGATAGATAGATAGACGGACAAACAGATAGGCTTACGAGGATTGTTTCAACCGTGCACTGCATTTAACGATTCTCATCCGGTTGGACGGGATCAAAGCCCCAAAACCCTAAACCCTAAACCCTAAACCCTAAACCCTAAACCCTAAACCCTAAACCCTAAACCCTAAACCCTAAACCCTAAACCCTAAACCCTAAACCCTGCAAACCGAAGTCCTTTGAAACGCAGAGGCCTCAGAACAAAAGTACTCGGAAACGCAAACAAAATCACCTTTGCAGGCGTTTAGGGTTTAGGGTTCCTGGCTTTAGGGTTCAGGGTGCAGGGTTCAGAGTTTAGGGTTCAGGGTTTAGGGTTTAGGGTTCTTGGCTTTAGGGTTCAGGGTTCAAGGTTCAGGGTTTGGGGCTCTAAGCTTTACGGTTTTTGTGCTTAGGGTTCCTGGCTTTAGGGTTTAGGTTCAGGACATATTCGATCCTGCAAGACATAGAGACATCTTGCCCGGAATCCTCGGCCCAACAATCGCTTTCGTGTGCAACCCCACTTGGAGGTTCATGGGTAGTTATAGGTAGGGTTATAAGTAGGCTGACTATAGTTATAACCTATATTAGGGGACTTATAACTCCACTTATAACTACCCATGAACCTCCAAGCATATCAAGCACTAAACCTATCGAAATCTAAACCAGTTCTTGGATCCCCTCTCCTGCAACCCTACATCAGCCCCCAAACCTCAAAGAAACTCTTCAGACTCCTAAACCCTAAAGCCTAAACCCCTAAACCCCTAAACCCCTAAACCCCTAAACCCCCAAACCGCTCTCAACCCTAAACCCTAAACCCCCAAACCCGGAACCAGCACCACCCGGCCGTGTAGCTCGACGCCGGTGCCCCGGTCGCCGGGTCGAAGTACGCCGGCTGCCTGGGGATCTACTGTTACAAGCTAGGGTTTAGGGTTTAGGGTTTAGGGTTTAGGGTTTAGGGTTTAGGGCTTAGGGCTTTTAGGGCTTAGGGCTTTTAGGGTTTAGGGTTTAGGGCTTAGGGCTTTTAGCGTTAAGGGTTTTTAGGGTTTAGGGTTTAGGGTTTTTAAGGTTTAGGGTTTAGGAGTTCACAGATGGAACATGCAGTAACAACGCCCAGCAGAGCTCAGGGAGTTCAGGAGCTGGAGGGCCAAAAAGCTGCGTGATGTCAGAACCTCGTCGTGCCCAAGCCCCGAAAGGCCCCGTCCTTCAGAATAGCAGCAAAAGAGGATGCAGTGCTCCGGCATACAGTGCACTTCTGCTCAAGTTCGTCCTGAGCCTTTCTTTTCCTGCCGCGCGCAAGGCCGGCCGCAACAGAACCCTAAACCCTAAACCCTAAACCCTAATGGACCCTAAACCCTAAATGGACATGATGACGTACTACGGGATGCCCAACGAAAGCTCTGACGCCTCGACCCAAACCCCCCCCCCATCCCAAACCCCTAAACCCTAAACCCTATCCCAAACCCTAAGACCTAAACCCTTAACCCTGAAACCCTAAGACCTCAAACCCTAAACCCTAAGACCCAGACCCTAAACCCTAGACCCTTAAACCCTAAGACCCCAAACCCTAAACCCTAAGATTAAGACCTAAACCCCAAACCCTTAAACCCTAAACCCTAAACCCTAGCCTAAACCCTTA